TAACTAAAGTGAACTTGTTTCTGTGCACCACAATGTTTATTTTAGGATCTCAAAACACTTCAGTTTTCAACTATTAGATTCCTTGCCTTCTTATCAGCAATAAAAAAATAAATTAATTAAATGAAAATAAATAAAAAAATAAAATAAAATATAAAATAATATAAAATAATAGATACATTTTAATATATTAAAAAAATAGTTAAAATATGGCCAAAAGTATATTTGCTAAAATAGGTTTCAAAATACATTAACACATGTTAGACTGCACCCCATAAACACAATCAAGCCTAGAAAAAAAACAGTGAACCACCCCTTTAAGGTCAATTACTGCATACCTTAACTAAAGCAACACTAGATAAAAAAAACTGCTGTTTGGTAAAAAATTAAAAAATAAATAAAATAATAATAATAACATAAAATAAAAAGATAAGTCATTTTTGGATGAACTATTCCTTTAACTTCTTCACCTTCTTATCGGCATTTAAAAAAATTAAAATTAAATGAAAATAAAATAAAATAAATACCAAAATAAAATAAAACATAAAATAATCAAATAAACAATAAAATAAAATTAAAAGACAATTAACTGTATACATAAAAGACAGATCATTTTTGGATGAACTATTTCTTTAAATAAAATGAACCTGTTTCTGTGCATCATAAGGTTTTTAGGCTGAAATGTTGATGGGATATTTTAGATTTCTCGCCTTCTTATCAGCAAATTAAATAAAATAAATGTATTAATACACATAAAATAAAATTTAAATAAAATAAAAAATTATAATAATTAGCCTGAGATGTTGACAGGATCTTCTCAAAAAGCACAGGATTGAGAGCAACCGAAGAGGGTTCAGTTTGGAGGTCCAGTGCTGCAACTACCTCTTAGATTTCTCACCTTCTTATCAGCAAAGGTGAACTGCAAAATATGCAGTTTATGCATACGCAAAAAAAAAAAAAAATGCAAAACTCATTACATGCAAATTTTCCTAAATAGTCTACTATTGCAATATTATGAAGACCAAAAGAGCTTTGCATGCACTTTTTTTGGTTTTCTCAACATTTTTTGGTCAATGACTCATTTTAGGGTCCAGAATTCTTGCAACCTCACTCATACCACAAAATAAAGTTAAACCAAGGGCATAGGTTTGGTTTAAAAGTTGGTAGGAACCTACTGCAACCTTGAGATCAGTATTTTTAAAACAAACCAGTAATTAAAGCCATGACTCACAAGACCTTGACATAGGCTATTCAAACGTTGGTGTTAAGAATGTGCCACTGCATGAAAGGAAGTCTGGTAATATGCAAAATAACATAGTTCCCTAAAGTCTCATTCATTCAAACAAGATCACTGAAGCTGAACTCTGTTTCAAGCAAATCTTACAACAGTTTCAGGACACTTCTGCAAGATCTGTGACTGAAATCTCCCCATTTATAACTATCAAATGACTCAAACCTAGAAGAATATGAACTCTTAGCAAGCTACGGAACATTTCCGTCATTACTACCCAGGAAATCAATGTTTAACGGTTAGTTCATGCCAATAAGTTGTCAGTCCGGGGCAAGTTGTCACAATAGGACTTGCCATTAAACAGTCATTACATTCCATTTAGTCATTTAGCAGATGCTTTTATCCAAAGTGACTTACAAATGAGGACAACAGAAGCAATCAAAATCAACAAAAGAGCAATGATGTGCAAGTGCTATAACAAGTCTCAGTTAGCTTAATGCAGCTAATTTTTTTAAATGATATAATAAATAAAAAGAAAACAGATAGAATAGAAAAAGAATAGAGCAAGTTAGTGTTAGAGGCCTGCAAGTGCTATAACAAGTCTCAGTTAGTTTAACGCAGTACACGTAGCAAGGGTTTTTTAAATAATATAATAAATAAAAAGAAAACAGATAGAATAGAAAAAGAATAGAGCAAGTTAGTGTTAGAGGCCATTTTTTGCTGTTGTTAATTGTGTAATAAATAAAAATAAAACAAATAGATAGATAGAATACAAAAAGATTAGAAAAGCTAGTGTTAGTTTTTTTGTTTGTTTTAAAAATCAAACCACATGATCTTTATAAACAGTCGATTGTATTCAATTAAATAAACAAGAAGACAATTATGAATCAAGATAACTTGTTAAACAGCTGAAATTGCAATGCTTTTCAAAGCAAACAATTACATTATAAATGTGACCCTGGACGACAAAACCAGTCATAAGGGTCAATTTTTGGAAATTGAGATCATCATGCAAAGCTGAATAGTTGACCCATACAATGTATTGTTCTGTTTTTGAACTAGACGTATGAAACTAGCAAACACAACCAATGCAAAACAAGCACGGACGTTTTGACTTAAAACAAAACTGACATACAGACCGAGTGACAACTTGCCCCGGTCTCCCATATTAAGCGGCGTTTAAGCAGATAACATTGTTGTAATTCAATCGATACCTGCTGTTTCCTCGGTGGGAACATTTGCAGGACTGTAACCCAGGTCGGTAAACGCGTCTTTCACCTGGCTGCAGTTCACCGCGTATGGATCCGCTGCTACCGGGGCCAAAAGCGCGCACAGAACGGCAAGCACAGCCGACATCGCGAGCTCCGCTGAGATCTGTTGAGTTATCCTCGCCATGGAGTTGATCTCTGAGAAAGCACGCGCCGATCCCTCTCTATTTGGGAGTCAAAACGCCTTGAGGTTTCCCATCGCGCGCTCTGACTGGAGTTCCTCGAGAGTTGTGATGCGAGTGAACCTGCTGCTGTCAGAATCAGATCCTCCACAGCGCTGGAACTTCACTTCAGTTTTTTTCTCTCTACTTTCTTCTCTTTGACTGGGGGAAAGCGTGCGCGATATGTCATCAAAACGTTCTAAACGGAACGTTATTCCAATGCAGTACAGCGCATAACTGCTGATCAGTCGCGATTTTCACGGCTATGGAATATTTGGAAACATTTAAAAATGAGATTTACGAATTATGAGGAGCGTTTAGGAGGGTTTGACCCCATAACTTCTTGAATTCCCCTAAAGGGGGTGTGTTTACAGTAGCCTACACATAAAAACAGTACACACTCACGAGACGCAGGGTTTAATTTGGATTTGTCTGTGCATGTTTTTTTTACTCTCATAGATTTTGTTACCATTGCCATGCATTATACGACTGACAGACTGCAACGGCTGGACTTAAAAATCATAATTTGTGTTCTACTGAAGAAACAAAGCCACCTACATCTTGGATGCCCTGGGGGTAAGCAGATAAACATCACATTTAAATTTTTGGGTGAACTATCCCTTTAAGTGCAGCGACGGCAACCATAACAACAGTAGACTACGGTTCGCGCTTTCGATTCCTACGATATTATGTATCACTTTACTATAGATTGAATATAAAAACTTTAGTTTAATTTAATTAAGACTTTAGCTAACTTTGCTACACTTCAAACAAATCTTATTTTTGTCTTGTTTTCCATTACAAATATTTAAACATTCTTAAATCAAAATATATTTAGGCCTACTTGAGAAGCAAAATGACTTGTTTTATGAAAAATGCATCAAAATTAAGTGAGTTTTGGCTTAAAATTAGAAAAACATCCGCAAATGGGCCAAGAAAAATAATCTTATTACTAAATAGTGATATTAATCTTAAATATTATTATTTGTTTCCTCAGAAAAAAAATGACTTATTATTTTGTCATTTTGCTTCTCAAGTAGTCCTAAATTTATCTTAAGAATGTTACTGGAAAACAAGAAAAAAAATTATAAGATTTTTTTTTTCCAGTGTAGCTGTGAATTACAAAGCAGACTGTCACAAAATAATTAAATTTTTTCTTAGAACAACAGAAATTTTAAAATAGCCAACCACACAAAAAGTCGTTGTGTAGTAATTCATGAAAATGAATGATAGAAAACGTTACATGAATTTCTATTGCAGCCAAATTCTTATTCTCAGGTCTAAAATATTTAATTGGCTAGAATTTCACACTTACAAATTTAATGACGTTTACAGCCCACCACTGTCTCTTTTCAGTTTTTTTATCTCGAAAATAAAATAATGCACCTCCAATTTTGCTTGTGCCCAACAGTTAATACTAATAAAATACAAGGAAGAAGGAATCACTAAAAATAGTTTCATTCAGGCTGCACTGTAAAAAATTCATGTGAAATCTACAAGAATTTACTGTGTTTGTGCACAGGAAATTACTGTATACTAGTTCACAGTAGAATACCGTAGTTTCAGTCAAAATTGCAGTAATGTAAGAAGTACTGTGAGTGTCACAGTAACCAGCAATGTCTTGTAGAAAATCACAGTAACTTCCAATGTATTGTAGAAAACACAATAACTAATTATGTACTGTAGAAAATCACAGTAATTACCAATGTATTGTAGAAAACACAAGCAATTATGTACTGTAGAAAATTACAGTAACAAACAATGTGCTGTAAAAAAAAAACAAAAAAAAACACAGTAACCTTTTATATCCAGCTTAGTTTTCACAAGAGAGTGGGCGCGACTATTTGTAACTTGAATGTGTTTGGTTTCTGGTGTCTTTCGCTTCCAGTTATTTTACCTGTACAAAAACAGCCCATTATACTGCTTCATACAAACTTTAAATTATTATCATATTATTTTAACTTCAGTATCATAATCATAAATTAACCCCAGAACGTGATTTCACCGTACTGCCATACACTAGGGTTTTGTAGCCTGCACTGGCAGCTGGGTTTCCAGCCAATGCATTTAATTTGACCTCACTGTAATTCAATTACATTAGCAAATGTATTATTTAATAAAAAAATAAATTAAAAAAAATGACCAGAAGGTCATCAAGATTTTATTGTTTTCAACACATCTAGCAATAAGTGAAGAATGATAAATGAAGCTTGTTATAATGATGAGCAGTTAACTGTGACTGTTGATAAATGAATATTTATATTTAAATCGTGCAACATGCATTATTTATTTCATATTCATTTTTTTATTTGGGCTGAACCAATATAACTACACAGCAATGGAACCTGTCGGTACCGATAGTCTAGTGGTTAGCGCATTGACATATAGTGCAACTGTATCTCTGGCGACCCGTGTTCGGCTGCCAGTAAATTACTGTAGTTCTTTTCTACAGTAAGTTACTTGTCACTTGCTGCCAATTAATTACTGTGAATTTCACAGTCAGTTTCTTACAGTGTGGCTGAAATTGGGCTGTGCCAGATAGATAGGTATAGAGAATATAGATAGAGAATATGCCACCCACATTCACACATTCACAAAGTTTAGAACCTCAGAATTCTTATGCACCGAAATTAGAAAACATTTTATCAGCAAGACCTATACACTAAAAACAACATAATCCTCCCAAAAAAGTAAAAATAAAAAATAAATTAAACCTATAATTAGTGTAAGGTTACACAGAGAGGGATGTATTTACATTTATGTACATGCTGTTTTCCACACAGTTCTCATTCTACCAGCATCACTCCTACACTTATAGGCTCTGTCTGACTCATATGTATACGCAGTTATATACATGGCACTGGCCACCTTTGGAAGCCAATCTGTCAATCAGATGAGCTTCAGAGGAATTGTTCTAGGTAGCAAACTTTATTCCCCAGTAAACAGATAACACTTAAGGAACAGTTCAGCCAAAAGTGAAAATTCGTTAAAGAATCACTCACTCAAGCCATCCAAGCTGTAGATGAGTTTGATTCTTCATCAGATTTGGACAAATGTAGCATTGCATCACTTGCTCAGCAATGGATGCTCTGCAGCGAATGGGTGCCGTTAGAATGAGAGTCCAAACAGCTGATAAAAACATCACAATAATCCACAACACTCCAGTCCATCAGTTAACATCTTGGGAAGACAAAAGCTGAAACAAATACATCATAAAGACGTTTTTAACTTCAAACCATCACTTCCGACTAAAATACAGCTCCATAATTCTTAATAATGCTTCCTCCAGTGAAAAAGTGCATCTTCTGTTGTCTCTCACATAAAAATCCAGTCACATATTTGTTTAGAGCTGTTTTGGCTTGTAAACGCTGCTTGAACTGTGCAGATTTCCCTCCTGATTCAGATCAGACTTTTTCACTGGAAGAAGCACTATTATGGATTATGGACTTGTATTTAAGCCGGAAGTAATGGTTTGAAGTTAAAATCATCTTAATGATGGATTTATTTCTTACACAAATGCAGCTTTTGGCTTCACAAGATGTTAACTGATGGACTGGAGTAGTGTGGATTACTTGTGGATTATTGTGATGTTTTTATCAGCTGTTTGGACTCTCATTCTGACGGCACCCATTCACTGCAGAGCATCCATTGCTGAGACACTGATGCAATGCTACATTCCTCCAAATCAGTTCCCAAACTTCAGAACATTTAAGAAAATTTCAACAAGAGACTATACTGCTCCTTCCTCTGGAGCAGATATCATGCAGTGTTTCAATGGACATAAGCTGATATTTAAGAATATTACACAATCATATGACCTCAAAAATGCTTTTATATAAATCTATTTCATCCTTTCCCTGTCACTTCCAGTTGTCGGATACATGCTGCTCCCGCTGAACTTTCTGTTAGGCCAGTCCAGTTGTAGAGATGCTGGTTACATGTCAGCATGCTTTTCGACCGGTTAATAATGAATTACGGTCATGGGGAAATACTAGTGGATCGTTCCAAAAAGACGAAACATGCTTTTGTCTGTCACATATCTCTATGAAGAAAATCATACTGAAAGATGCTTTCATACGAGGCTTGGGAACTATTTCCACTGGATGCAGTTTGGAAGAAAGCCAGTTGCTTGTGATCAACCGCTCGCATTCATGATAAAGTTGTGGTTGTAGCTGTATTTTTGTGCTGTTCTTTTAACAAAAATGTCTTTTGTGTTATTTTCTCTCATTGAAAACATGGTGATGCTGCTTGGCGAAACCCCAGTCAAATCCTCCTCTCGCATCTGCCTGCTGCAAACTATAATGACCTCCATACTTCCACATGCCCGGAGGACATTATGAAACATATTAGTGGTTAAATTATGAGACTGGACAAGGGGACACGGAGCAGCTGACAGCACATTAGATCAGACGAAACAAGATTGATGATGCTTTCATAGGCCGCTGCAATAAATGATTTAATTAATGGAGAACGCGGGAAAGAGAGAGACCCACACTAACCTGACATGTTGTTACTTCAGTGCAAAAGATTTAGGTGAATAATGAGTAGACACTCAGGATCAGGTTCCCATCAGCTCCGGTCACATTATATACAGTCTGATTTCACACTGGTGCTGGTGCATGTTGTGGGAAGCTTATTTTCCCCATGAAATAAACAAAAGAGGTAATTTTTTTTTTTTTTGCAAGAAAAGTCAGAATTTTTAGATAAAATGTCACAATTAAAATAAAATAGTGGGAAGCTTATTTTCCCCATGAAATAAACAAAAGAGGTAATTTATTTTTTTTTTGCAAGAAAAGTCAGAATTTTTAGATAAAATGTCACAATTAAAATAAAATTAAAAAAGTGTCAAAATTGCACGATGCAAACTCAGTATTCTGAGAGAAAAAGAATTCCGAGATGCAATCTAAAAATTGTAAGAGAAAAAGTC